AGGGGAGTTGGAAAACCCTGACTTCAAACCAATGGTGTACATGGGAACAAATGGAGTATGAACCAATCGCTAGCCTCCGGCTACCATGGAACTGCATTTCTTAACGTTGCTCCACTGCCTTGTGGATCAGACATTCAGGTCGAAGGCTCAGGGTGTGGCCTCCTAAAAAAACCACGTGCTTCAGTTTGGGCACCCGGACAGTATCACAACCCTCACATAAACTAAATGAGATTAGTGTGGCCCATATGTATCTGATGCCTTCTTGTACCAATATTTATGCTTTCAAATAAAAATAAAAAATCACATCTCTTTGTTTTATTTAATGAAAAAGGGTATAACTGAAATTTTATTCTTAAATAATTACTTATTGTATCTAATTATTAGTATATACATTATCTATAAGTGATCTAAACTACATTTAATTAGTCTCAGTGTTATTCATTTAGATAAATCAGTTCATCTGTGAAATATTTTAAGCAAACGAAATGATATAAATTCACTTTATCTAACAATGTTTTCAATTTTTGTCTTTCCTTTACAAAATGATTCAAATGAATAAACTATTGATTAAAGAGTTAGGAATTCAGACATTCAGCAAATAACAGTCTTGTTCCCAACTACATTCAATATTTAATTATAAATTATATCTATGTATATTGTTAAATGATTAACTAATTGTTTTTCTGATCTTCTCTATCCTGACAACAAAATATTGAATAATTTAGTGTTAAATGATTACTTATTAGAATAAACAAGATTCATTTGGCATGTTGACATTCTATTGATAGTTGCTTTATGATTACAATTCTAACTGTTAATAATTAATAGAATCTTTATGGAATTATATAGTTCATAAACAATAAACAATATAACCTTTTGAAAAACCACCAATATATTTTGAAAATAGAAAATATTATTTTTATAACAGATACTGTCTGAATTCAAAACTTAATTTAAAGAATATTTACATCAAAAACAGACTTGTATACACTATGAAACCGGGAGTAATGCATCATCATCAGCACAAACTTCAGATGATGTCGTTCAGAAGAACGATGAAAGCTTCATGACCAAACCATCCAGCTCAGAGAACAAAACTGCATCAAAATATAGACTATATTTGTGAAAATCTTAACATCCTGATTCTAGGCAGTGTACAGTTACAATTGGTGACCGTAACGAAGTTATTGTAAAATGCGGAGAACAAAATTCAACTATTGTTAAAAATATATCGTAGCTCAGCAGTATGAAAACACACAAATAATTCTATCACTTCACATAGTAAACGAAACTAAGAGTCAGCAAAAAGATAAGCCATTATCTATGTGGTTAAAATATTCACTTGTTTAGCAACTATCCACATTATATTTCAAATTATCCAAGGATGAAACTAGGCACAGCTGAATTGACAAATCCATGGTGTAAAAGTATTTTGCTTTCCGTTAAACTAAATATCCTGATTCTGACATAGTATGTGTGGGAAATTAAGCAAAACGTCGTTTTATTCCAATCGATTTAAAAATTTTCCTGTAACTGGGATATTTTTAATGGTGGGTAATTTGTATTCTGTGTGATAAAACATAATGTACTCCAAAGTTATTAATATATATAACAATTGTCAATATCCTTTCCATACAAGAAATGTTCAGAAAAAAAATCCTGATGGAATTCCTCTGTTGATTTATTTAAATAAAGGGTGTATAGTTTCCAGTGTTAAACGCAAATAACAAACTAATTTGGCAATAATCATAAACATTATTCAAGTCGTAAGGTAATGGTTTGAGATAATCGACAGGAAACCCTGTACCTGGGTTTTGTGCTACCTAACTCTCATCAGTAAATTGTACCTGTAATCTTAACGAAAATGCCTGAAGGACTCAAACCTATATCACCCAACTTTCAACTGGACTATCCAAATCACGAATAAGCTCCTATAGAAGGGAAATGTATTTACAATTGATTGATCACATTGCCACATGGTGGACAAAATTTATACAACACTAAGAAGGATCTGACACACATGACTTTGGTCACTACCTAATAATCAACCAATTTTAAATAAATCAAGCTACATAAATACACTTCAACATGACTTCGACTGAAGTTAATCTCTTTTTCTAAATCTTTTCACCAATAAACTAAATTTTCTTCAATACTATTATTGTTACTTTTATCATTGAAGTTATTCACTTTATGTTGTTTGACATAATCTTTTCACATTTGTCGAAATCTCTGATTAATTAACTTAGTTTTTCTTTTAAAAAAAAATGGAAAGTAATATTTTTATTTAATTTTTTTTGCTACCAAATGGTTAGATTTAGTGTGTAGACTGTTTAATGTCGGTCTTTCATATTAATTGAATGGAGAAAAAAACTCACATTACATAATTCACATGAATAGACTGGTTGACTATATAATTCACAGTTACTTTTTTTCATCATATATAAAAGCTTGTAACTTAAGGCTATATCGAAACGATCCGTACAGGATGCACATATAACAACATGAGACTAATCAATTACAGTCCTAAATAACAATAGAAAGATAAATGGAAAACAACACCAAGTTAATTCATCTATAAGTTAGCTTACAGTATATTAAAATTAATTAAAATTTATTTAGTTACTTTCTCACATGTTAGCTGATATGAAAATGTTTGTTTTCCCAATTCAAAAGTTAGAAAACTGTATGCGAAGAATGCCTTTTACATGTTGGTTTAATATTTTATTCCGTTTCGAATAATCATTTTAATGGGAAATCTTTGTTACTTAGTCTTATTATTTTTCTTTCCATATATTTAAACTGGTTACAATTAACGAGAAATCATGAGATAAAGATGTTATCATTTTATTCTGCAATTCCCCATTGTCTTGAATTTGTTTAAAATTATTATGAGAATCAAATATTTAAAATTAACTTAGTTAAACAACTATTATGATACTATTTAACTCATATATTGGACATTTTTAAAACATTGAAAATATTGAATATCTGATGAATATTAATATCAGTATATAGTTGTGAAAATTGTTGAGTTTTGATTGGGATCATGAATCGATCAATGTTAGATCACCATTAAAATCTTCTCAGCAGTGCAAATCCACGAATTCAAACGCAGGACGTTTGGTCTCATATGCGATTGTTTAACCTCTAGACCACTGAGGTGTTAATAACGAACGACAACCAATTCGCGATATAATACAACCATTTTCTATTATCTTTGACAGATATTTCGCCTAACACTCGACATGAATTAGCTCTACCGGTCATAGCTTATCACTGGTATAGTAGTTGAGCAAACGCACATGAAGCCGAAGGTATTGTGTTCGAATTCCGCGCGCGGGATCGTGGGTGTGCACTGCGAGGAGTTCCTTACTGAGCCAAAACGGTTGTCTTGTGCTTCCAGGTTTTTTAATCGTGGTCTAACACTGATCAATTCATTATCACAATCAAATATTAATATGATTGACCTTTTGGGCATCCAACTGATTATATTATTGAATTAAAAGTATACTTTATGTCAACCGATTCCATGAGTTTATCTGTAATATTTAAAGACACTAACATATTTAAATAATCTTATGTTCATTCATTTTGAATGATTTACGCTTGAATATTCTTGATATCGCATTATTTTACATTACTCATATTCATGAAATTATCAAGTAATTAACATTTCCATCTTCCAAGATTTACTTTTACCTATCCATTAGCTAAATGTCATTATTTTTACCAAATTACTTGTCAAACCGTTAATTTCCAAATGTCATTTAAATTTGTATACAACTGTAAAAGTATTCACAAATTATGACATGATAAACAGTGTTTTATTTTTACCGTTAAGATATCAAAAATGTAAACATTATTAAGTTATTTGAATGTGGGAATTTGTTTGATAACGACAGCATACATTATTCGCTAAATATTCTCTTTTACTGTTACTAAAACAACTTGTATTTATCTATGTTCTAGATGTACCATACATACTTCATAACTGAATGAAAATTCCACTGTGTATTATGTACTTGCACATCTAAATAACCCTTATTTTCTTTCCAATAAAAGTACTTTAATTGAGTAAAACAATGAATATGTGACTGATGTTAACAATAAGTTGAAATGTCTTTGTTTTTATTGATTAATTTCAAGACCCTGAAAACAAGCTTAGGAATTCGATCAATTATATAATGATTATGGTTACTAATTATTACATAATTTTCTATCATTAACAGCTGTAAAATGATGAACATACATTCAGACAAACAACGATTTCATTTCATTCATATCATTCTCTTTTACATCTTTGAATGAATGGAAGCTTTTTATCGATAATCAAAACAAGAACTTAAGTAAATTGAAGAATTCACAGAAAATAATTACTATAACTAATAATGATCACAAAATTTGATAATCACACACGTTTAATTCTATAAGAATTAGTTATTGTGTAATAATTAGTTGATCTCAACTTTTACAATGAATCAATTGCCTATTGAATTTAGTTAAAATCTGAGAAAAATATTATCATACGACTTTATTATATGATCATAATGGATATGTGAGATTTAGTAAATTCTTTCAAAAAAAGCAGATTTTAAATTAAAATAGTATACCCATACAAATATTAGTAGACGTTCATTGTAATTGTAATAAGTGAAAATCATAAACTTCTATTTAATATCTATGTCTGAATTGATTAATGATGAATGGAATGAAGTGTTATTTTTGGTAGTAATATATTTTGTATTCTAATAGACAAATATAGATATTCGCTAATAAGAAATGTCAAATTAAGTATTCAATGGTATTCACCAATTCTTAATCAATTCATTCTTTATAATGATAACCGTTTATTTAAAACAATTTTCTTGGTTATTCAATATAAGTTATACACTTAATAATTTTACCTTGAAGAACGAAGTATTTCGTGTCAACGTTAAAAAATAAATAGGAATGTGAAACATAATAAATTTAAGTAAATTGAAATTTTTATTACTTACCATTAGAAATAATCATTACCATTTTATTTGTTAATCATGAAATATTTCATATTAGAAGGTATACTTTGTTAAGATTATATAACTATTAAAATAGTTCTGAATTATTCAGTTGTTAATAATCTTCAGAGGGGATGCGGCTAGTGAAATATTAACTCAGAGATTATGTAGGACAATACAAAAATCTTTTAACACTGGAGAACTGTGATTAGTATTTCCTACGCGCCCAATGGTTACACTGAGGATAAAAGATGAATTACCTAGAATGACCACCTCATTTTGTATTTATCAGTTCGACTGCTCCTTTAGGGCGAGTTATATTAGTCGAAGTTTTAGGAATTTACATTTTCGTGCTCGTGAACACCTTCCAGCATGGTTAAACAAAGGTTTGATGAAAGTGAACAGTTCAATATTGGCCCATTTAGTACAGACCGGTCATAGTGCTAGTATAAACCAATACTTTTCAAATATTTATCGGGTCAGTAATTACGTCTTACTGATTTGATCGAATTGTAATTGCACGATTATTTCTCTCTCACCCTATTTAACCCATATTTATTCTGATCATGGATCTTAAAATTTTACTTAACATATAAGCTGATTCAAGTTTACATTCTATATGAGTCATATTAACATTAACAATTTTATTGTATTTTGTTAATCACAATCCTAAATTCACATGCTTTAAACGATGTACTTTGCCCTTAACCTGGTCATTTTTCGGATTATTAATTTTTATATATAATTATAGAATCTGAAGAGAAATTATCAAAAAGAATATTCTTCGTTCAAATACTAGTCTTTTGATCTTCATTGAATCTTTTTTATTAATCTTTGTTAGCATTTTTATATGCTTTGTGGATAACTTTGATAAAACCTTTTTCTATCTCATAAACATTTTGTTATTCAATTTGATTATTTATTTATTGAGATCATGAGTCAGTTGAAGCTAGATCACCAACCTAGAAGCATTGGACTATTGATCTAACCTTTTGTAGGTGACTACTTTCTTACTCTGAATGAAATCATTCATAATTAATATAATCATCATAGACTATAATAAACTTATCAATTAATGCTTGAGTAAATAATAAAAATGAAAAAAATTTAATTTATAGAATCAAATAAATAGAAATTGTGATGATTATCAGTGAACAGCAATGGATGTAACTTGTATTATATTAAGACTTGAATAGTGCTAGAATATGTGAACTATAAGATTCCGAGTCATTGATTTGGGAAACAAACTGTATCATATTGAGATATAAACACTGAAACTTAGATTCCTTGTGAAGCCCAAAATTAGAATGAAACAAATGTTTAGCGTTCTGTTATTTTCAGTACATTTTTGATGGATATCACTTCATGTTGATAACTGATAATCCCTTTAATATAACAATTTTTATTATGTGTTATTATTAGTTTCATTTTGGATAAAAATTAAATTAGTTACAGTTCAGTATATCTACAAAACTGTGGATTTGATCAGAATTATCCATTTAAAGCTAAACAGTAATTCAGAATCTTGAAAATTATATTTTCTTCATCAGCGAGTTACTCAAATTTACAGTCGAAGGTCAGTGGGACAAATTTTTTGAACTTTACTCAATGTGTGATACAGAGATACCACCATTCTTTTTACCTTTCAAATAAATTGAAACTATTAAAGTGATTCTATTGTCAACTAACTTCGGCAAGACGGTAAGACTATAATTTATGGACGAGCCAATCAAAAGCGAGTGAGTTATTTCAAGGTTACGACACCTATCTCAATACCCAGTATTCACGTACGATCGATTTACAGAATATTTCAAGTAGGACATTCTAGCTGAGCGATTACAACAAATGACATGAATGAGACGTTCCTTTATCTTTGACATCACAACATACATGGATGATTGGGGAGCACACCTATGCCTATCTACACGTAGTTACATGCATCGTATCATCGTTCACACCACTAATAAAAACAATTTGGACGAGACCAAAAGAATTTTCACGACTACAGATCCTCTTTTAAACCTGGAAAATGTTGAAACCACGTTAAAGAAGCATATCCTTTCTGATATTTTGGTTTTATCTAATAATTTCTTACTATAAACCAAGTGTTTTCTGATTGGCTGAAATCCTCTCAAGGTCGCTAAGAATTTATTTAAAGGTCCTCCATAAATTTTACTCTCGCCTCAACATCAGTCAAAATAACCTCTGTTCACTGAAACAACGTTATCACACTAAGATGAGCAGAAGCAATGCCATTCCGTAAATCAACTTTAAGCTTTTGAGAGAAGTTATAAGTCATAGAATCCGACGGGTTTCGATTCTATTACATTTTTTCCATTCGTGTCATACAAATCTTGTCAAAAATAAAGTTGATTACATCTTTAAAAAGTTTGCTTTTATTTTGTACTTTATTTACTTCTTTAAGGGTTTTGTTCTCCCAGTTGGATGGTTTAGTTGTGGAGTTTTCAATATCTTTCTGAACAACATCAACACGTAATTTTGTTTAACACTAAACTATGAAAATACCTCATTTATGTTTTATCCCTGGCAATACAAAAAGAATGAAGAATTCACTATTCCATATTCTTCAACAGAAAAAAATAGGGATAATAATTATTTTTTATGAATTAAAATGTGGTAGGTATATTCGATTATGTTTAATAAATAAAAATGACAAAATTTACATTTATCATGTTGCCCACTTATCATAAAAGTAATTAGAACCTATATGTGTAACTTTAAAAGTCAAAGCGATATCAGGAATAATAAAACACAGTTGAACATTTATCCATGAATTCCAACAATATATTGTCATTTTTCCCAATAGTTGACATAAACATTTAAATATAATATATCCCATTAAAAATGACAGTTATTAATGTATACCGTCATTTGGAAGAGATGTGCATACCTGATGACTATGTGATGTAGATAGGAAAGTGTTGAAAGCCAATATTCAATCAAAATAGTTTTATTTTCAGAATTTTAGAGAATTTTAACAATGTCAAACCAGTAGTTTCTTTGTTATCATAGTTTAGTTTAGTTTCTTTGGTCTAGTGATTCATGTAAATCCTTATCGAACAGTTTGAACTATATATTCAACTTGATATTTTCACTTTAATTCCGATATACCATGTTGTTATGCCTTCAGTTAGAACAAATGAATCTATTTTGGCAATGGAAAATGTTCTTAAATGTATTTTTCAATCAAAACATAGTTAAAATTCTTATCATTTCCCTGAAAAGCCTGAACTCGTTTTTCAAGAGAAACATTAGAATTACTTAAATATCAATCACTAAGACTGTTTTAAATTTAATTTTTGTGTCTAATTTTTTTTCAGTGAGGGTTGTGGAGATTGTTAAGATTTTGGTTGAGATCATGAATCAATTGATGTTAGACCACCGTTGGAAACCTGGAAGCACTGGACGGCCGTTTCGTCCTGCTGAGGAGTCCCATACTAGGACGAAACGGCCGTCCAGTGCTTCCAGGTTTCCAACGGTGGTCTAACATCAATTGATTCATGATCTCAACCAAAATGTCTAATTTTTGTCAAATACTTGGTTCCTTATTTCTGTAAAACTGTTTATTCAACTACTGATGACCTTAATATAAATTATTAAAATAATCCGTTTTATATGGCTTTGAAATGTTTGACATTAAAAAATGAACCTTCGTGTACCATCTTTGTGTTGTAAATTTATCATGCACATGGTTCCCTTTATTATCTTAAATAGAGCAAGAACAAAGATTGGTGCAGAATAATACGAATTCATTTTATATCGTTAGGTTTTCATCAGCTGCTTACAACCTAAAATATTTGAAATTAAACATTATTACAGATATTGACATATTTATACATAAGAGGGTGATTAAAGATGAATAAATGTATCATGGTGTAGCGAAGATTCCGATAGAGTTAATGAGGTCATAAAATTTTCGTCTCGAATAAATAGAGTTTGAGAGGGAAAGTTCCAGAACATTGAAGTAGTGATTAGAACTCATGAAAATAGATTAATGGTAATAAAGAAAATATGAATTGAAATCAGTCAGTTATGTATGATGTAATTTAAAAGAGTTAGAGTAATGACGCAATAAATAAATAGAGAAATAAACAAATAAAAAAAGGAGGTTATTGTTACCAGGGTAAAGAACGATTTATTACTGTCTTTTTTTGTATACATAGATCTGGTTTTAGACGTTTGATTGCTATTGCTTCGGCAAATTTCAAAAGGTTGGAGTTTGATTGTTTGTTAATCACCTTGAAGGACTTCAGTATATCAACTTCATGTCCTGTGTCAAGGAGATGTCTTGCGATGGCACTGCTGGATGCTTTTAATCCATTTAATCTTAAACTTTTCAGTATATATTCTTGTAGTTTCTGAGTTTAATCCAGTGTAAAATTATCACTATAAACTGCTGATGAATATCATACAACTTTGTAAATCATCAACAGTTTTCAATCATTATTAAGATTTCCATTGAAAATAGATAGATTTTCAGAAAAAGATCTAAATTAGTTTGATTAAAAATAAACTAAGTTTTACTTGATATGATAAGTATTTACGATGTTTAGTTTAATGTAACACTTGAAATTAAAAGTTTAAACTTATGAAATCTGTTATTTACATAATTTTTAAATAGCTCTAATTTAGATAACAGTTACACAAAGGTTTTCTCTTTCTTTTTTTTCAAAAAAAGAAACATTGACATATTGACAAAAAAATTCTTTAGTTATTTATAATTTTTCATGTCTGAATCCCTGATTGTTTGACAGATTCTTTAGTTTCATTTTTCTAAAAAAAACATAATATAATATACAGTGAATAAAAAAAACTGTTGAATGTTCTGTGATAGGGTATCAAGCACAAAGTGATTGTTCGAATAGAGTCTCAACTAAGTTTCCATTGATTATTCAATTTATCATTTTCAAAAAACCTTGTTACTTAACAAGAATTTAACATTGTTTTTAACTTTCTACATAAGATTTAAATATCTTATATTTCAGATGGGTTTTGTGGAAATTATAGTAATTTCAATGGTTAACATTATGAGTCAGTTGAAGCTAGATCAGCAATCCACGAAATTGCGCCACCGTACATCATTGTCTTCAGTGAGTTCCTATCTCACAACAAACCTGGTTGAGTCCCATATTAGGACGAAACGGCCGTCCAGTGCTTCCAGGTTTTCCATGCTGGTCTAGCTTCAACTAACTCATGATCTTATCCTATATTTATTTGATAGTTGACTTGGAAAATATTAAAATTAGTTTTAGTGGTTTAACCACAAATTCTCATATTAAATCAGTTTAGTAAGTCTTTTAACTGTTTGTTCATCAAAAATGTATTCTTGAAATATAGAATATTGAACTAA